CAAGTCGGCGGACACGGAATCGGCCCCCAATACGGGTGACTCCAACCAGAGCGTATTTTCGAAAGTATTCTCAAGGTGCGCAAACGAGAAGTCAGCTAACAGCAGCTTATTAACTTCTATATATATATACTTATATATAATTGGTGCCACAAATTTTGTTTATTTCCTCAAAAAAACAAAAAAACAAAAACAAATATGCTTACCTTCGGTTAATGCGGATCGGCTGCTTTTGCAAACATACATTTTCAACTTATGCTTTTCACACACACACACACAACTTACACACGCAAACGCACATAACTTGTGTACACACTTGGTATACATATATATCTTCTATATATACATAAAAACCAATTCAAATTCAAATCAGCTCGCCCATCACTCTGGTCTCAGAGCTGGGCGGCAATCTATTTTCGAAAACACCGTCCGAAGAATCTGGTGGATCACCAGTGCCGCCATTGACACCGCACTCGACACATTCCGAGGGTCATATGACCTATGGGTAAGGATGGATCGGCAACTGTGCACTGTGTTGTTCTAATTGTTGTTGCCTTTGCTGTTGATGTTCTAGATGTAGCCGTGTATATCTCATCATCATTTTCAGTTCCCACTGTTGCTCATCAGCTAAGCATCATATTCGACTCTAGTCGTGCTCATCAAATCGTTTCAAGTCTTCAAACTCAATACTAATACTCTGATTCGTTTCACAGGCGCTCCTCCATTGGCACTTTCATACGGCCGCACTCGTCGGAGGGCACAGCGTCCAGCACAAAATTGAAGGAGCCAAAGCCGCTGCCGCCCAAGCTGGACTATCGCTCCATGGTCTCAATGGATGACAAGCCGGAATTGTTCATCAGCGTGGACAGTGAGTGCAGTTGTTAACAATCCATTGTTAAATCTGCATATATTTCATTGATATATTCGAATTCGCTTGCAGAGCTTATACCGCGTCCAGCACGCGCCTGTTCTGACCCACCTTTGTATTTCCGCCTGCGCATGGGCAAGCCCATTGGCAAGGCAATACCGCAGGGCACCACGGTCATGTCCTATGGCAAAAACAAGCTGCGCGCCGAATATTGGTTCAGTGTGCCCAAAAATCGGTAAGTCGAGCATTCCCCATCCCTCATCCTGAATTGAGCTGTAATTTTCCCTCTCATTTGCAGCGTTGATGAGCTCTATCGTTTCATAAACACCTGGGTGAAACACCTGTACGGTGAGCTGGACGAAGAGCAGATAAAGGCGCGCGGCTTTGAGCTCATCCAGGAGGATACCGAATGGACAAAGAGTGGCACCACCAAATCTGGCGGCTATGGCGGCAGCCAGGATGGCGAGGAAATCAGCGATCTCACCCGCGAGTCCTGGGAGGTGAGTGCCATATTTATCCAATTGATTCAACCATACATCATATATCTACAGAGTCGTTTCATATGCTCTAAATTTATATAATTTTTAACCTCTGAGTTTTTCTCTCGCATTTTTCTACTATTAAATCAAAAGAAAATAGAAAAAAAAAAGTTTCTCAAAATTTTTATATCCAAAATCTAAAAAAAAAGTAAAAAAAAAAAGTTTTTTAGGTTATGCCTCAAGAATCTGTTGAAAATTATCTCTTAATATAAATATATATAATTCTTGTATACATTTTTTTTCTTACATTTTATACTGTTCACGCGATTCTACAACTTGTTTCCGTTCTCCTCACCGTGTCTCTTTCTCTCTATTTATATTACGTTACAAATTTGCATTTATATTTTCTACGTACCAACACACGAATCAATTCGCCAATGATATATGTATGTGTATCGCAATGATATGGGCGAAACTACAAAATGAATGAACAAAAAATACCAAACTGATAAATCTCTATACGACAGCTTATAAAGGCGCCCTTCGCCAAGACCTACAAGATCATTAAAACGGCTTCGCATGCCGCATCGCATGATTTGGAATTGTTGGGCGGCGAGGTTAGGAATAAAAAACCATTTAATACCAATTCTTCCACCTAAACTAAACTGTGTTCAACAATTACAAAAACCAAAAAAAAAAAACCAACAAAGCACACACAAACCCAAAAGAAAAACAATTTACAATTCCACCTTTGAAACTTGTGTGAAAATTATGTGCATTTCCTTTGTGTATTTCCATTACAACTGAGAGCAATTGATTTTTCAGTTTTTGTTGTTTTTCCTTTATGGCTCGCTCGATTCTGTTTGGTTCTTCCGTAGTCTAATTATATACCACCAGTTACACTTTATGCATAATGTTGTTCATTTTGATTTTCCTTTAAAAACAAAAGAAAAGTCTTGTTTTTCTTGGCACATTTTCCAGCACCTGTCTATGTGTGTGTGTGTTTATGTGTGTGGTACACAAATTCTTTAAATTTAGTTTCTATATGTTTAACACATTGCTGCATTAGTTCATTAGTTCATTGGTTCATTTGTTCATTCATTAATTGGTTCATTTAGCATTGGCTCAGCGAGCAAGAAAAATTGATATTTTTTCCCCATATTTCTTCACACATTTTTCGAATGCAAATTCTCTCATATTTGGCAACTTTTCATAAAAATTTTGTGAATTGAAAAACTTGGTCTAAGAAACTGAATCATTTAGATGGGTACTGAATTGTGTATATCTTTAATAAGTTAAAGTTAATAACCTTTTGATGACATAACTTGATTTGTCCAACACTTTTTCGGCTTCTGCTGTTAACCAAGTCGAGATTGGCTCATGCCAATATCTCATTACAATCTTATGGCGAGCATATGGGTTAATGAACTTGGTATATCTACATATATCGAATATACATATGTATGTATATAGAAAATGTATAATAATTTGCAATCAGTAGTTAAAAATCGTATATCTCTCGTGTTTTCTATAATATATCAAAGACTGCAAACAGCCTTGGCCCTTTAAAGTTATAGTAGCTCTATTCATTTATTAATTAACATCTGCATAGTTAATTTCGTCTCGAGTTAATCGAAAATAGTCTGAATACTTTGGCCAAGTTGATTCACTGAATAATTAGCGCATTTTGTGTTTACGACTATAAAATTTCACAACATGCTGCGACGCACGTTTTTCTCACCCAATAAGCGTGCGTCTCGTCGCTGGGTTATATATACCCATATATCTATGTTTGTATATGCACGTTTCACATGTCGTATGAGTAATATTTTGTCTAGCATACGATAAATTATGAAACATAGCAAACGTTGCTTTCTTTTTAATAAAACAAATAAACAAACAAGCGAAATTATACAAAAATCTGTTAATCAGCCTTGTCTCAGGCCTGATGTGTGTTATCTCTGCGCCAAGTATTTCCCGCTGTAATTATATATATAGATGTATATATATATATATAGAAGGGTGTATATAGCGGAATCACAACAAATTGTTGTTTCCTCATTAGCGAATTTAGTATATAGAGTTCTAGATAAGCCATAGAATTGACGGACGAGAATTCCAAAACAAAAAGTCTAGCTCAAGAGGTTATCGGTCCGGCTTCTATTATATAGGGTTGCATTGATTGTTTGAGAGATAAAGTTTCTTAAATCTTTCCTAATTTGCGGTTTTCAATTATAATTGGATTTCGTGTGTGACACAGATTAAGTTCAACTCGCGCTAAGTACTTGCGTAATTTGAGCTTATCTTTGATGGCTTTTAAAAATATACTAAATACATATACAGTTATATAGGTATAGGTATATATAGTATAGACATGTTTGAGTTTGAATCAAGTAAACAAAATAAGTAAAGGAAATAATTGCAATTTCCATGATAAGAAATATTAACAGAAATAGCCAATATAGAAATATATACATAGATGGATCTATATATGTAATATATGCATGTAAATATACATTTTTTATATGTAAATTACTTGTAAACATGTTTCCTTAAAATTTAACTGGTTTCTTCTACAAATTTCGATAGGTTTTTGATAAACAATTAAGCAGGTCACTAAAATGGGCGGATCTAGATGAAAATAACTTACAAATATATGCAGATATACATATATGTATATATAGAGCTATATATAGTATTTGTATGTGCATATTATATGATATTATAGCTTATTGTTTATAAGTGGACAAGTTTCTGCTCGCATCGCAGCATCATCAACCGGTTTCATTATATGTGTTATAGTTATAGTGGCTGTTGTTGTTGATGTTATTGTTGTTATTGTGGCTCAATAACTGGATAATCGAGCGTGTGCCTCAAAACATAACCAAATGCTGAACTCACGCGCTCAACAAACGTCAATTTGCATATAAAGAACAAATGAGCAAATGAGCCGATCGGCAGATTCGTTAAAGTTGAACTTATATATAGTAACTCTATATATTCTATATATGTTTATATTATGCAGATCAATTCAGTTTGAGTTTTAGCTTATAAACAAAGTAAACAATTAATTATTTGTTTAAACCAATTACGTTTTATTCAATTTAATTCTATAGCGCTTGCCATTTAGCCGGTTATTATTGTTGTTGCTGCTGTTGTTGTTGTTTGTGTTGCTTCTGCAACATTCTAAACATCTATTTTACTATGTGCCATCCGGTTTTTTGTACATTTGGCAATTTCAGTTGCTGCTTTGTCAGGTCATGTCACGCCCACACCCACGCGTTTCAATGCATTAATTGCCAAGTGTCTCTACATATATCGGAAAGCTATAGATATATGCCTGTCTGTGCATACATATGCATACCCTCTCTCTGTCTCTATAAGGCACTTGTTTGATCAATTAGCCTCAATGAATTTTTACGGCATCCACATCTTGGCGACAATTGAGTTCATTGCGATGCTCGGTTGAAAGTCATCTTTATTTTAAGTACCGCATTTGCATAATATTTCGTCATTTTAGATATACGACTAACTAAAAGTTTTTATAGCGTATTCTCCCTTAATGAAGTAATTAACAAGCAAATATGTACATATATGTAAAATGTTGTGCGTGTATTTGCATATATTTTAAAGCATATATGTATCTATTTATAAGTACATCACTTAAGTCAGAGTTTAAGCGACCGCAAGGTGTGCGAAAGGTGTGGCTCTTAGTCTTTAAACAGGCTGTAAGCATGGTCAAAACGATTTGACGATCGTCTTCTTTTTAAGTTTATTTTTAGCACTCGCTTGCCCAGTTAAACTTTAAGTAAATGTGCAGAGCAATATGCTAGTAAAAGTTGTTAACATGTTAAGTAACTTTAATATTTAATGTGTCGACTTTTTCATTTATACCTCTTGAGAGTCAAACATGTTAGCGAGCACTCCATTAGTTCGCCTCAAGCATAAAAGTGCTGCCCATTTGGTTTTACTTTCGATTTCAAGATAAACTCCAAAAATGCTGCCCAGTTTTTCTAGTAGATTCCAGCGATTGGAATAGTAAACGCATTCCACAGCCAAATTTAACAGCGCTGCTTTCTGCATTGCCTCATGCTATCTCTTTTCTTTTGTCTGTTGTCAATGCGTTGCAGGTCTTAAATCAACTGTAATTGAAATGCAGAGCACAAATATTTTAAGTTCTTTATGTGTGCGTGTGTATGTGTGTGTGTGTGTGAGTGTAGTAAAACAGAAAAGCAAACAAAAGCTATGGAACTAAGTTGCACAGCGTATGACTATGTGTGAGTGTGTGTGTGAGAGTGTGTAAAAGAAAAAAGCAACGCACGCGGCTTAGGCTACACTGCTGTCCAAAATGTGGTGCCACATTGCATGTGACGGCAGCTGCTGCCGCTAGACAAGTTATCAGCGAAGCATCGCGACGCGGCTGTTGAGCCACGTTTGTTGTTGCTGCTGTTGTTGTTGTTGTTGTTGTTGGCGCTCGACAGCTTGACGGCAACGTCGACGGCTTCGAGCATTGGGCTTGCTTGTGGACTGTTTCTGTGTTAGTTTTCGCAACACATTCAAGCCGCACAGTCGCAAGCGCGGGAAGCGTCGCCATCGTCACCGTCGCCACCGTCGTCGTCATCAACATCTTTCGTCGTTGTCTTTCTTATCGTCGTTTCTTTTGTGTGCATAACAATTTTTGTGCTGTTGTCGAAAAGTGTTAAATTCTGACAGATGTCCCCCAGTGGAGCCAGCCTGAGATGTGACTGCATTTTCTCGCGCTGCCGTTAATCTGCAGGCGCCCAAAACTGAAAACTCACACATATGTTGGACACATTTATAAATCTGAAATCTCAGCATATGTGCTCAATTGCCTTGGATGTAGCGCTCTCTTGGCCCAATTGCCTTGCTGCCAATCAAAGAGCGTATCCAAAATTAGCAACGCCTTCGCTAACAAACCAAAAAGAAGAAGAAACCAAGAAACCAGGCAAACAAACAGTCGCATCTACCGCAGCAGCAACCGAAAAGAAAAGCAGAAAAATTTAAGAAACAGAAACGAAAGCACGTTGCCAAAATGAGCGTCAAACCGATCAAGTTAGCAAAAATAGCCAAATATATTAGGAAAAAGGTAAATAGCTAAAATCCCAAGAGTATTTTCTAGTCTTGTTTTGTGTTCAAATTTTTAATATAATAAAATGTATTTTCTTTGTTGTGAGTGAAAGTTTGGCTTCAAATTAAAATATAAAATAAGAAAAAACAAAAATAGCAACAACAATTTTTGCATTTAAACAAAAAAAAAAAGCATTTTGTAAACGAAGCGCGTGCGGTTAGGCAAAAATAATAAGAAACGCAAAAAGAAACAGAAATATTTGTATATATTCAATGCCTTGGCCATAAAAAGAAGCAACAAGTGTCCATATTGAGTGGCATGAGGTGAAATACCAGGTAAAACCATCGATAAGGCCAGGCCTATGCAAATACATTGCAGCTGCAATAATATGATGATGGTATTTATGTAAATGAAATGGATTTGCATTCCCAAACCAGATGAGCTATAATTAGTGATCAAAGATGGGGCAATGGGACGCCATTAGTCTTATAAGTCGCAGAGACCCATTAAGTGCATTCGAATTGCTTTCAATTGACGCTCAAGTGCTGTAATATTTAAGCCCAGGGTCTCTCAATAGGCGCAAATTCCATATTGAGTCAGCCATTGTATCGAGTCTTCAAAATGGGTTTTATTTCTTGTTTCGCCATTGTTATTCTAATTCTCTTGAGGCTTTTTGGTAAAATAAAAGCCAAAACGGAAGGCATCGACGGGCAACCGTTCTCCATTGTTGGCTTGTTCTTATTAGCCTTGGCAATAGCGGTTACTATGTAGGGGCTCGCTTTCCACCTAGTTTCAGCATTTCTTTATCTTTGTTATCATGAACGACATCATCAAAGCGAGAGAAAGACTCCAAACGTATTGAATATACAATTCAATTGAGGTGAAATTTGATTTTTTTCAGCTTAAAATAGCTCACTCTATGCATGGGGTATGCGCAACTTGAGGAGCTCTTGGAACTTGTTAAACTTTAAAGCAATTATATTCTATTCTAAGCAGAGACTCTTTCACATTAGATCTTTCACATATTTTGTATTCTATATATAGCCAGAGAACAGGTCGACAATGTTTATTTTGATCTCAGTTCCTCCCGGAGATCTCTGTCTCTCCCACTCTCGCAGATAATTAAGATCTGGATTTGAGCAGCTGGTTCGAATTTGGTTGGTTTGTTTGTTTTAAGTCGGTTTTTATACGTATACGTGGATACATTTGACATTTCTTTCACCTTTAGAGAGACTCGTCTAGAATTCAATTGTGCTTCCATTGAAATTCGGCTACAATTAAGAATCTACATTATATTTAAACTTGTTTTCTGCTCAGTTGTTGATGAGGGTTTCTTTGTTTCAAAAGAAACAATAGTTTATTTAGCTATGCTAGGGCCCCAACTAACGAAATTAGATACGCCTTCTTTGACAGACTGTTTGTAAAGAAGGCAATATAATATATATAAACATTATATAAATATACATTATGTATGTGTTTAGTTAGATATGCATACATATGTGTATGTATGTGTGTGTATATATTTATGTTATGCATTTGACTTGGATTTCAAATGCATTTCACTCACCCATACCATGTATACCATATATAATCTATAGAAAGGTGTGGCAAATGACGGCATTTGTTGTTGTTATTGTTGTTGGTAGGTGAAAACATCACCTGTTGATTATGCACTTAAAAATGACTTGAAAAGTCTTACTTAAATCGACTTTGACATAGTTTATCTACAAATATATGTATGTAGACTTCTGTTTATGCCATATGTTTTATAAGTTTGAAATTGTAATTCTGTTTAAAACAATATTTCAAGATTAAAATTGTGGTTGTTGGTTCTCTCTCTGAGAAATGTTTCCAAGTTCTTGTTTTGGCTTGGTAACTTTTGATAATTATTGCGAACTTTGATGTATTTATATATTTTTTTAAGTACTTCTTGAAATTCGCTTTAATCCCAGAGCTCTTAAAAGTAAATGAAATAAAATTTCTAGCACTTAAATATCAGAAATCAATATTAACTCTCGTATTTTAGTAAAATATTTGAGATGCAATTAGAAAACCTGAAGACCTATAGAAAACCCCTTTAGTAGTGAGTGAGTTGACAGACAAGTGAAAATATTTGCAAATTTCAATACGCAAAAAAAGGTTCTGCATGACCCAAAATTTCTTATTTGGCAAGCGAACGGAACCACACAACATGAATCCAAAATAATAATAATAATAAAAAAAATTGTTCATATATTTATTTGAAGTATAAACAATAGAATTGAGCAAATAACCGGATAAGGTGAACTCGTGATCGCTTCATAAATATTTTCGTTGACTATTTCGCTGACGGAATGTGTCAAAAATAATTATGAATAGGAATAATTGATTGTCAATTGAAATGGGATAGGGGTCAAGCCAGCTGCTGCCAGGGTTCAGGCACGAAGCCATTTTTAGAAGAGATTTATCTAATATATGTATATGTATGTATATGCATATATTTATCTTCGACAATTGTCCGTTATGTGATAAAAAATATATTAAAATAATAAGATAATTTAAGCAACGATACCAAAAGCTTAAAAAGAAACCTGTTTCAGCCAGCACTTAAAACAATCAAATTAACCCACAAAATGCACAACAACAACAACAACCTTGGCCCAGCAACAACAAAATTCAAGTATTCAACCTTTTTTTTTTTTTGTTTTTTTGGGCCAAAGCACATGATGCGCTGTGTAGCAAAACGTAATGGGTAAAAAAAAACAGTTAAATTCAATTGCCGCCAACTCATGATGCCCCAATTGTTGAGGAACTAATTGGCAACCTCTTAAGGGCGACAACTGCCCGGCAATAAACCCACAATTCGCACTATTCAATAGTCGAAAATGTACATCGACGTTGCGTATACGTTGTGTTAGCAACATGCTGCTAGCAACATCAAAATCCCACACAGGCAACATACATATGTGTGCGTATGTGTGCCGTACTAATAAACGGTAGCAACCCTCCCTGCTCGTCCATACTGTTTAGCAAATAGCACGTTCACAGCAAACTTGTGCTAAGAGAACGGCATCGGTATGACCTAAGAGAGCTTTAGCCCACGCTCTTAGCACTTAATCGCGCTCATTCTATTTCGCTGTGGCTTGCGCTCTCATTCAACTTCTTTTGGGCCACTGTGTGCGCCTGTTCGTTCTTTTATTTTGTTTCATCATGTACGCCAGTCGGCGCTCATTCCGTCAGTCAGCAACTTGTTTTTCAAACACGCACACAGTTTTGTTAGCCGCTAGCGAGTAACGCTTGGCTCGAACAAAATTTGTATATATCGATATGTACATATAATATTTACAAAATTGGCTAAATAGGCACAAATGTTGTAAAAAGTTAATGTGTTGTGCTGTGACCAATGTAAACAGCATTAACATTTTGCTGTTGCCGTGTAAGACAATATTGGAAAAACAATTGAAAGGCATAGAGAGTGATAAAAGCTGTGGCAACAACACAGAAGCACAAACAAGAAAACGCACACGAGGAAAAAAGGAAAACGATAAAAATAAAGCTGTGTAGTCTCGTGGGTCACAAGACCAAAGCAAACCAGCTGAGCGAGAGAGCGACACGAAGAGCGCTAAAAGCCAGAGCGTAACGCATGCAATGTGCCTGAGTGCGATAAAGCTTTCACGTACACTGGCGTCCAAAATTATTGTGCTACGTGAGCTTTAACTGTAAACAGAGTCTCGAATTTTGTTATTGTTTACAACATGTGGTTCATTGTGGGACTCTTTGCACTTGTCGCCGTTGGCGGCGTAGCCGGTCGCAAATGGGGCCGTTACCTATACCTGCACTATGGCCGCCACTTTCTGCCACGCTCCATGCTGGCAATCAAGAATCGCTCGCCCACACCGCCGCTCTCGCCCACCAAAGACGATCAGAGCTTGGAGGCATTGCTCGACGAAAGCGGTGAAATGCACGAAACGGTGAGTGGGTAGAGCACGAAAAATAAAAATAACAGAAAGCTTTAAAGAACAAAAGCCGATTAGAAACTATTATGAATGCCTACTATGTACATATGTATGTATGCATATATTGTAGCCAAATGGGCAGCACTTACAGCTGCATGTTATAAATAAGAAATCTGGCTTGACTGCCTCGTATTAAGTTATCCCAGCTTAATTGGCAGCAGCTCCTATTATTGCATCATCATTAAATTGTAAATATATTACACGTGTACCCGTGTGTACTAGAGACAACTGTGAATGGCATTCGAGCTAAATGAACTCAATTTGTCAAGCCTTGTCAAGTGGCAAAGGCATTAGCTGACTGAAGCGGGTCAATGCGCTACATACTGCTCCCTTCCTATAATGGGTATTTCGAAAATAAGTGTGTGCTCATTTAGGTTTTAATAACGAAAACTAATTGAATATGGGACCAGCCAGGAAATGGTTAAACTGTGTTACATGTGACAAAAAAGAGAGAAAATAAACGTAAACTTAATTAAATTTCATTTGCGCTTTGTGAACTGAAGCGAAGCAAGCGAAAAAGCAACGTCGATAACTTGGTAAAGAAAAAAAAAAACAGACGAAAATTGTATGCCGATAAGAAATTGGGAGCACTACGAATACATAGTGTAATGAGAAACTAAAAAAAAAAACCAAGCCATAGCTGAGATAACAAGTCGAGGTTAGAGTATTTTCCATATGCAAATAATTCAGTTGGAAGGGAAGCCTTTTCTTTTCGCTCTGCTCCATAAATGGTATCGCATGGCTTTTCCTTATGTCGGTTCCGCTTTGTTGATTCCTTTTGCGAGTTGAGTGATAGGGTATCGCATTACTTGAGAGACCCGGCTCAATATACTCGTTTGGTCAGCCGGTTTGGCATTACTTTTTTCCGTATTGCTACGAATTGCCGGTTCTAGGTTTGAATTCTGCATTCCTCTTTTTTTGCTCTTTACTTTAGTTTACTTTGGTGTCTTTGGCTTTTTGGCCCCAGACTTTTGGCTCGAAGCTCAATAAAGACAAACCAGTTGATGCGCAGCCGTTGTGCAACATGTTTGCCGCGACGCCCAAAGCCAAACGCCAGGTACGACAACCAAATGCAATTCATTCCCTTTCCCAAGTCTGAGTCTGAGCCGTGAGCTATGCCAAAAAGTTGTCCGAAATGCTGTGAAAAAGAAAATTGGTTTATACAAACTCATGGAGCTCTTATCTTATCAAGCTGTGGCACTTTTGTTTATAAACAATGCCAAATTGATTTCGTATTTCGATAATTGCAATGCAACTTGTTGACCCACTCAACAAATTGAAAAAAAAAACCAGCTTCAGCTGACTTAAGCTTGAGCAAATCTTATTTTGTTTCTATTCTAAGTGAACGGCCCACAGCTGCTGGAGCGAGGCTTTACGAGTTATGCATAACGAATGTGTAGAACATGAAACTGGAAATATAAATACAAATATATGTACTTAAACTGATGTCATTCTAACTAGACTTTAGCTCAAGCTTAGATAAAGAAAAACTTCAAGTGGAAGCTGAGTTTGAGCTGAGTCGCACCCATCATCATTAGGAAGTTAATGTCACATAACTTATGTCAATATACCCTGTTTCGTGTACAGGGTATTAACGTACAGACAAAGAGCGACAGCAAGTAATTTTCTTAATTAATTTCATGTCAATTATTTTGGTTTGTTATGAGCTCAACTCGACTCAACTCGCGACTCAAAACAAACTCAAACTTGAAAGTTACGCTCTCGAATTAAAATAAATAAAATAATAATCATTTGTTGGGCTTTTTTTTTTTTTTTCGTGTGTTAATTGAGAGACTACGACGCGTCGTCGACCAATAAAAGGCCCGATCCAAAGCCAGTTGGCAGTTGGCATTTGAAAGCGTTGCGCTACAGACGGCAATTGAATCGCGCTATATATATATACATATATATGTATATATAGTGATAATAGTTAAATAGAAATATTATTAAATGTACCACGTGCCGGGGTGGACCAGATTCAACATAATTTATCGCCCATTTAAGCAAAACAGATGAAAATGTGCGAATTGATTGTCAATCATGAGCGAATGCTCAATCGTCAGGTATATATGGAATCATATATAGTATACGTGTGTGTGTGTGTGTGGAGTGTGTGGAGTGTACTACGTTTCAGTCTGAAATTGCAAACAAAAAACTGGTTAACAGATTGAACAGATGGAGAGTCAAATATGTATGGCAAACACTGTCATCGACATTTGACTGCCAGACAGACATTTGCTTATGTATATAAAAAAGCATCTTAGATTGTCACTTATAACTTTATATTTATATGCATATATCATATTTGTAAATCTATATAAATGCATATATACAAGTGTTTTTATTTGCCTCTGTAACTGACTGTCACGCTTCAATTCTGATGACTGTCCCATATAATTGCGAGTCTCCTGACAAATAAATGAGTTTCGCGTATTTAGCCCTAATTTGACTGTGATCAATCGGCCAAATTGTGAAATACAAATAAAGGAAAATGAGACCAAATATCGCAAACCCTTCTGGAGTTTTCCATCTAAATGATGAGTCTATAGATATAGAGGATTGCAGAGATTAAAAGAGTTTATTGAAAAACCATAAAAATGATTAAGTAAAAGAAAAAATCTTGAGAAAAATGCTAAATAAGTAATTTTTATATTTTCTTTTAAGCTTAGTAATTTTTAAAAATATTTCAAGATAAGCAATGAGACATTTTTCATTTTAAAACTTAAACTTTTAGTTTTCGGGTTTTTTATTGATAAGATTTTCTAAGAAAATCGCAAACCTCAACTTTAATTTAAACAATTAACATATTTAGAGCTCAAAAGCTCTCACCTTCGGCTGAGTCAATGATTCATATGTGTTTTAGCTGAAATCGTGTATACATATATCTAATATAAAATAAATATGTATATATGAATGTATGTAGCTAAATGTTGAGCTCTTTTAAAGGTCAATTGCATAAGTTTATGCAATTCATGTAGTATAATCAAGAGAACAAGCTGAAGCACAATTGATTTTTGTATGCTGTGCCTAATCAAGTACGCCTCAAAGCCAAACTCTTGGAGTCAAGGATCAATTTGGCGCACATCGAATCAGTGTCAGGTGCTTCAACAGACTCTCAGCGCTCATCGAGAAAGATCTTGAATTGGTCATCATATGATTTTTGGAGTGAGTCTAGACCCAGACCCAGGCCAGGCCAGGCCAGACTAGCAGACAGACACAGTTTTGGATTAACTGCTAAATAGTTGAGGCACGCTCAGCTTCGGCTTTAGTAACTTGTTGAGAGTTCATGGAAAGCGCATCGAGTCCATTGCGAAATGTATTTGGCGAATTATTGAGTCGGGGTTTGTGCTATGCCAAAAACCGGTATAATTAACACTTGACATCATCAGACTCTGTTGACTTATTTCAACAAAAAGCGTTAGCATCCAGGGGGATTGTCTTAGCGTTAAACATATTGAACTTTACAGATTTTTAGACAAATATTGATTTTTAATACGCATTCTGTGCGATTAATCAATACAATCATTTAGCGGCAATTGACGTCGTTCTGCTGACATCAGACGGAGATTCTCTCCAGTGAGAGAGAGCGAGTGGGCAGAGGAAGGGTGAGAGAGGGGTCGCTGCACAAGTAGGCGAGTCTCTGTTATATCTGTAGCAGAATTTGTTGACAGTTAGTGTAACAGTTTTATAGTCAGCTACGTAGAGCACAGTTCTTGAAAAACTTTTATTTTTTTTTTTCCCCGATTCATGTGTAATTTGTTGTTTGTGTGTCTATCCCAAGAGAGTTAAGTAATTGTTTCGAAAGACGTTGTCCAAATTGAACGTATTCTAAGGCAGGCACACACAGCGCGTAATCCGTCTCCCCAGAACAGGAAGAGAGAACTAACAGATCAGAAAGCTAGCAGCCAGCACCACCTGCAACAATATGAGCAGCACCAAGAGATTCAACCTGAGCCAGATGGCCTTGCAGAGCAGCTGCGCCCACAATGCGCTCAAGTCGGTGCGCAAACTCTACATGAGATCAGGAGCGACAAATGTGGCGCTGCTGAGGCAGACGAGCGCCCCCACGGAAAAGAAGCCCGTGGAGTTGAGTGGACCGCCGGCGACTAAGGCTGCGCGCGTTGGCCACTTGAGCAAGGTGATTGGCGTGAAGAAGACGCTGGTCAATCAGATGCAGGGCATGGTGCAGAGGATGCAGCCGCACGTCCGTTCGCAGAGCTTGCTCCTGTCGCAGAAGAGCAACGGCTCCAAGTACAGAATCTACGGCCAGACGCGTCTCTTTTCCTCGATGAGCAGCCTGGCCAGCAGCAGCACAGTGCTCCATCCCGCCTCGAGGCAGTTGCCCCTGCTGCAGCGTCGTCGCCTTTCCCATGCCAGCTACCAGCCGAGGGCGTTGCCGCAGGGCTCGGTGGTGCAGCAGCGGTACAGCCAGCTTGGCCACATGTACGACAGGCGGAAAGGTGAGATGGCCAAGGACATAAGTCGTTCCATACAGTCGGAGCTGATGGACGTCGATCTGACAACGAAGCGGCTCATCAGCTGTGCCCGCAACAAGCCGGACTTGCTGGCCGAGCAGAGCGAGCAGGAGGCGCAGCGCCAGCGACAGCAAATGGAGCAGCAGGAAATGCAGCTGCGGATAAATCAGCAACACCATCAGCAGCATCCGCTGCGCTACAATCCGTTCAAGATCTGGAAGCAGCAGCGCTCGGCCAGGCCGGCGGCCAAAGCCACAGTTGACGAAGCTGATCAGCCGCAGGAGGAGGAGGAGGAGCTGGAGGGCAAACGGCGGAATCGCAAGCTAAAGGCCAAACTGAGCGAACTCTATGCCAGCTCCGACAAGAAGACCCGCAAACTGCAATACCAGAGCGCACTGACGGCGGAGTCGCCCATGCCAGTGGATAGCGAGGCCGAGAAACTGGCTTACTACAAGCAGTTGGCAGAGGAACGCAACGCCATCACCAGCGAGCACGAACGGCAACGGGAACGCGAAGAGGCAGCGGCTCTTGCGTCCGCCGGTAACAACCGCATGGATGATCAGCACTACCAGACGAAGATCGAGTCGAATCTGATGAGTGCCTCGCAGCGCGTCTATAACAAGCGGTACGAGGGCTATCGTAATCAGGCCGAGGCACGCAGCAAGGAGGCGCGTCCGATGGTTACCAGGAATGCCGTGCAGCCGGTGTCGCTGCTGGAGCAGTCGAAGCCAAAGAGCGAGACAGATTCACCCGCGCCCGCAACTCCGGTCAAGACCACGAGCCGGCCGTTATCGGCCAGGTGCATGTACAAGCCGGATGGCAAGTCCAAGTCGAGTGCAGCGATATCAAAGCATACTACGCCCAAGGCGCGGGCCCAGAAGAAGCTCTTCAAGAAGCTGAGCCAGACCATGTCCAAGAGCAGCAAACTGGACTTGTCCAACCGCAGGGATAGGTCACTGAGATATAGGAGCGACACCAGTAGCAGCAACTGGAGCAGGCCAATTCATTCAAACTATGAGCCACGTGGCCGGGATTTGCGAATGGGGGAGATGCGTGAACCCCAGATATCAGATGGAAATTACACGAGCGACAGCTTGCAAAATGATGTTCAGATGCCCAGGAAGTATACCAAGGAGTCGGCTGTGCGGCGTTTGGGCAGTGTCTACGACAGGCGCAACGGACACGCCCACTTTGCAGAGCAGCGCATGCACGTCTAAAGGGAAACAGTGGAGGGGGCAAGGGCGCATTTCTCCCTTCTTAGCTCAACACCGAACTGAACAATATGAACGCCAATAGCAGAAAGAGCTTTCAGCTAGAGCAATCGGGTGGTTCTTGCAAAATTGTTCTAAATTCAAGAAATTAACACAAAATTCACTGCAGATTGAAAATAGATAAGAATATTGACTCACTAATAAGATTCCTGTCCCAAAATTGTCTCTAGATTTTATATCGTATGAAATTTATATATGTTTAGACAAAATAAAAATGAATTGCTAAATTTAAAACTTTAAATTGCAAACTTTATCAAGAAGGAAAATCACACTCAGTTGTTGCCAAATACCACTCATATATATCATATAGTTATATCACCTGAAGTAGTAAATACGTTAAGGGAAACTAAATAGGGAATTTGTGTGCGCTGCTGCCGAACTTCATCTGGAATCACTACGCTCAGCTAATACCAAATATCATCTGTAATATATTAAAGCATATATCACACCTACATCGTTTTCTCTCAGTGTATTTATAATTTGAGCATTTCTGTTGCTGCATTTTCCGTTGTAGTTTGCAAATATTGAAAATTAGAACACAACAACAAATACGATACCACAAAAAGATATATTCTACAAAAGATATATCAACATGCATATATATATATATATAGAACAAACTCTGATCCAATCAACGAACCACTGACAAACAACAATTTCTTAGTTACTGCACCAGATTTTTCAAGTTATGCTACACCCTATCCAAATATTACAAAAAAAAAAAAAAGAAACTTATGTATATTAAATTTGCAAATCAGTCCAGTTTTTGGACTGTTTTTTTAGTCTTGGTTTTATATGTATCTTTGTTTTGTATTAGTTTCCTATCAAATATTATATAAAAGGAACTTTGTGCTAATCTCTTACAATTCCATCGCTCTCCAGGTGCTGTCTATGAGCCAAGATGAATATCGCAAGACCTCACTCTTTGCAACTAGTTCCTTTGACCTGGACTTCCCCATACCAGATCTGATTGGCAAAACAGAGATACTCACCGAGGAGCATCGGTAAGTGTGAAGAAATTGATTTAAATATGGCAAATCGATACATAATAATAAATATCGATATCATTTACCACAGTGAGAAACTGTGCGCCCATTTGCCGGCGCGCGCCGAGGGCTATTCGTGGTCCCTGATCTTTAGCACATCCCAACATGGTTTCGCCCTCAATTCGCTCTACCGCAAGATGGCGCGCCTGGAGAGTCCTGTTTTAATTGTCATAGAGGATACGGAGCACAATGTGAGTAACAGTTAAATTACAATTGAGCACTGTTTTTTACCAACTAACACAAATCGTTGATATTCTTTTTAAAGGTATTTGGTGCTCTGACCTCTTGTGCGCTGCATGTGTCTGATCATTTCTATGGCACCGGCGAATCCCTGCTTTACAAATTTAATCCCAGCTTCAAAGTATTCCATTGGACTGGTGAGAATATGTACTTCATCAAGGGCAACATGGAGAGCCTGTCAATTGGCGCTGGCGAGTAAGTAAACACGCATACACACATAAGCATAAGCATAAGCATTGCAAAGTCAATGTAAACATCACGAAGAGCAACGGCAAGCACGACTCAAAACTTCAAGAGCACAAAATAGTACAATCTAATTTCGCTCGCTTCCTCTCGCTCTCTCTTTCTTAATCTCAGATTGGCAAATGGTTGCAGAGGCAGCCAATAACATAACATAATCCATAACATAGCAGTTATGTATGTATGCATATGTATATGTATAGCTTAGACAAGCTAACAGAAGTACTCGCACACCAACATACATTAAGAGAGGCATTCGTAGATGCCTACGTAAGCATTTGCATAGGCATGCATACGTAAAAGCTAAGTGCAAAGAGAATTCATATTGCCTGCAGATGGCCAGGCGACTTGGTTTGCTCGTGCGCTGCTTCGGCCCTCGTTCGTGTGTCTTCTGAAGAACAAAAGAGACGCTCGGCTTAAGAGCGAAAAACGTACTTGAAACACATACGCTTTGCAGTTTATATTGTCTATGCACTCACTCACTGTCACACACACACACACACACATGTTGAATTCTGCAAATATGTACTAATTATGCCTTTGTCTTTCTCTCTTTGCAGTGGACGCTTTGGACTCTGGCTGGACGGAGATCTGAACCAGGGCCGATCACAGCATTGCAGCACATACGGCAATGAGCCGTTGGCGCCACAAGAAGACTTTGTTATCAAAACACTCGAATGCTGGGCATTTGTTTAAGTGAATTTGTGTTGAGAACGCGTTCTCGATGGGGAGCGAAGCCTACCTATTTAATTAATTGATAATATAAAATATATATATATATATGTATGTGTACTACTACTACTATAACAAACAACCTGAGAATGATATCAAAATCTAACGTGTGTCTAAACAAATAATAATAAATATAAACAACAACAAAAAAAACAAAACAAAAGCAAAACGAAAAATCATATAATCGCATAGAAATACAAAGACGAGAAAAAAATAAACACACGAAGAGCCTAACCTAAACTCCAGAAACAAAACCCTAACAAAAAAATAATAATAATGATAACAAAAAAACAAAGCAAAAACAAATGTCTGTGAGCAAGAAAGAAAATTGCTATATGCGTTGAAACGTATTAATTATTTAGTTTTTATATTATATATATTATTAAACAAGAGGTAACTAAATTATGTAGTAGATGTAATCAGTGAGAAAACCCGAAAGCCGGAAAAGTGGATAACCCAGACAAACAAAACAATTGAAAACCTCCCTCTGAATAAACATTTGGACATAAGCATCACCCACACCCACTCCCACACCCACACCTACACACACATATGTAGACTTAAGCTCTATTATCAAACAACAAAAAAAAAAAACAAGGAATTAAACTAAATTGAATGTTCGTCAACCAAAATACAACACAATCCATGTTTACAATAAAATTTTGGTTTGTTTTTTTTTTCGGTTTATTCGTTTTGTTGCAATAATTTAAACTTGATTCGTGCCTTTGCTTTTGTCTGTGGACACCTGAAAGAAATGTCGATATAATTTAAAAGAAAAAACAAAATTTTGAAATGCAAGTATTTTGGAAATGTTTTTAGTTTTAGAGAATGTGCAAAGAAGAGGGCAGAGGATGTTAGAAGCAAAGAGAAAGATAGAGTTTTAAGAAAGGCAATTATTTTGTTTAGTTTTACAAGAATTATATGAATGTATATTTAATTATGCTAATTATGTTGATTTTAATGCAATTATACTAAAAGCAAACAATTAAAGATTGAAGAAATACACAATACAAATATATATTACAATAATTACAACAAATCCAGAATTTTAATTGCCACAGGAAATTAAGAAGAAGCAATGTTTTTATAAAGACTTTTAGACTAGGCGAAAGTCTGTTAAATGGTTCTTCCAGAAGCTGCATATATGTTATATATATATTCACTTTCGATCTGAGTTTTGGTTTTCTTTTATTTTTAGCCCTATGTTGAAATACAAACACACACACATAAGCAACATACACACACACACACAAATGTCTACATCGACAGCGCCTAAATGAAAATAAAACAATTTGTTGGAGCTGTGGATGCAAAGGTTTTGAAAACTTAAATGGCTTTATATCCATTTTGAGATACAATTGAGTATATATATATAAATATATCTATATGTATGTGAACATTATATATATATACGAATGTGTGAATGAGTAATAAATGTGTCATTTTTTGTAGTGTATTTGTGCAGTCGTCGCGACCTATTGTTATGTATTATGAATGTTATATCACCCTAACAAAAGAAAAGAATAAACTAAACACTTGATTGGCAAACGATGATAGAGGAGAGGGAAGGAGGGACAGAAGAAGGAGAAGGCAAAATTGCTGATATTTTACACAGAACGCAGTTCAAAAAGATTTTAGTTTCTGAATTTTTCACTCTAAGTAATGGCTGAATATGACATATTTAAAGCAAATCCTAGATCCTAAAATAAAATGTAGCGTGCAACAATTTAGAGAAATTTAGCTGAAACTTTTTTGCACCCCAAAACCCAATACAAAGCGAAGTACATTGATCTTAGCCGTACTTTTAAATATGATATGATGAATATATGGATATATGTATATACATATGTATATATAAGTATATATATATACATATATCCATTAACACTCATGCCAAAGTGTTTTTTAGAAGTTATTTAAAACAAAAAACAATTTTTGTGTAGCTGTGTCTAAGATATATGCATATACCTATCTTTCCCATATATGATATATGTATTATATATGATGTTGATAGATCCTACATACATATTCCTTGAATGAGTTTTGTGAGCTTTAAACACACAACAAAAACTGCTAAATAAGTAAACAATGTGGATTTAAATCTAAAGAACAATAATTGGAAGGATTTAAAAGTAAAATGAAACACTCAAGATGATGCAACTTTGTTTACAGAGCAGATCAGAACAGAAGCTAAAAGAAACCCTAGCTTAACTCCCTAAAAATTCATACATATATAAAATCTTGAGACCAAAAATGCGTTTACTAAAAATATTGAATCAAATCTATATGATATATGTATATACATATATGTATATATAAATATTGATAATTAGATGGCATACATTATTAAGGATATTGTGGATCGTTTGTCTTCAGATCTGTGCGTCAATTGTATCCAACACATACACACACACACACATGCTTAAAGAATAGTTAAAAATTGTATATGATTATATAATATATGTATATGCATATATATTATATGAATTTTTGGTAGGCCTATGAATGTTTGTTGTGCGATCAAAAAAGAAATATTTTTGAATTGTAACTTCTGTCAATTAACATGTAGACTGTAGATTGCATATATATACATATAACTAACTATATATAAATATTTATTTATAATTATGTGTGTCTTGGTTTACCATTTATTGCGCCACAAATTACATATATATACATATGTATGTATAACGCTTCAATTTGTGTTAGCTATGTGTGTGTCGGTGTCTGCTTTGAAGTAGTAGTAATTGTGAAAATACCACAAGCCAGTGTTGAATAGTTGCGAAAAAGATATTGTAGCTGTGCACCAAATCACTGTAAACAAAACCAAACCATTTGCACGAGAGTTTGAAAAAAAAAACGGTTAAAGTGATCATATATATATATTATCAAATTTATCTCTATTTTATGGCATTTCGAGCACCTCAAACAAACCAAAAAATTTAGCAGAGGGAAAAGCAGCAGTCTTAGATCTTCAATTCAAATAGTAAATACATATATTGAATAGGTGGGCAGAGGCAACTCAACTTGTATAACAGTATAACAGTAACAGAGCAAACTAACAGTACATAGAAAAACAGTGATAGACAGAGACGGAGAGGAAGAGAGAGAGAGAGAGAAATGAATAAAATGATCAAGCAGAAAAGTTTTATTTTTCCACCGACGAATTGCAGGCATATGAATATAGTTACACATATACATAGACATAAACATATACATACAAACATAGACATACATTATAATGGCAATTAGATCGCTCGTGTACATAATACAGAAATATTTTTGAAACGATATAAAAAACATAAATAAATGAAAATATGTACATAGAGTGCAAGCAAAGCAGTTTCGAAGGAACAAATGGAAAGTGGACATTGGAAATATTTAAGGCAATTTTCACTTATACAATTTATCAATTTACATTTGTTTGGTTGTTCGTTTGTCAAACGCATAGTTGTTTTTCTGTTGGCATTCAAATGAATAGCTTATAATATAATTATAGCTAAACCGAAATTAAAAATCAAGTGTGCTATAAACTTGTTGCGTATCAAGGCGCAGAGCGAAAAATGGGATAAATGGGATAAAGTAGGAGATCCCCATTGCAGCGCATATACAAAAACGAAATGTGCTTAACCAGTACATATATAAATACGCATATACATATATATGCATGTGCATACGTATATATACTATATATAACTGTAAAGTCATTACTAAGATGAACAACTTTTCTGAAACATAAACTGTATATTCAAATATCAACAAACGTAGTTTTTATTTTAATTATAAGGCTATTTCGCAGATTAACTTGAAAGCGTATATAAATTAACATCCTTCAGTACGCATACTTTACCGATAGATGGCGTCCTCTAGTCTGGCGGTTGAATTCGAAAACATGCTTATATGGCCTCCAGCAACTACATATGTAATCAACAGAGGGCGCAGGTGAAAGACATGTTATTTGCAAAGCATACTTTTGTGCGCTCAAATTAATAATTTACATCTTGGGCTGACAAAAACCAACACTCAGCCAAATATTGAAAGCCTTCAATTCCATTTCTAATTAATTTTACTTAACCACCCAGTTTAATTTCCTGAAGAAATTTGAATACATTTTGTGGATTTGCTCAGTTTTTCATTTAATAAAAAAAATATACATGTATATTATATACATGATTCATATTTTTTGTGCTGTCTATTAAAAGAGATTTACATATGCAGAAGGATTCTGGGATCATGAGAATCGGAGAATTGGGTGACATTCAAAATAAATAATTGAATTGAATGCTTACAACATTTTGAGATGGGAAATCAATATCAATATCGCTTCTTCAGATGATTTAGTTTAGCTTTAATACTTTGGCAAACTATGCACATTTTGATAGTTTTTACAGAGCGTATATGCAGACAGATTATAAGATACAATATAAAAACGATCAATATGTCGCTGATAAGGCAGTTAGCTAAAGGTTAATGCGAAAATAACTACAGTACTACGACTTAGTGGCTAAAACTAAAGTTTTAAATGACTAAAGGAGCTTTGATTCACATTTATGTAGGTTAGACTAGTACAGTTCAGTTTCCCTAACTGCACTTCTCATAACGATAAGATTACGTGCTTAAAAATTATATATAAATAGGTTTTAACTAGCTTTTTACAATGTGTATTGGCTGATAAAATATACACTCTTAAGTTGACCATTATCGATGTGCCATTAGTCACTACTATATATGGCCTAGATGTAGATATAGTTATATATACAGGATTTAAGCGACGACGAGTAGCTACGTGCAAATCTCGTTGCTGGCCGGGCAGGAGCTGTTCGCCACATTCGCGTTCAGCGATCCTGTTCCGGTCGTCATGCTGGCGGGTGTAAGTGACTTGTTCGCTGATAACACTGTAGATGGGGATGCGGATGCAGATGCTGGTGTGGAGGTGGAGGTGGCTGCCGCCGCTGTAACTGTGGAGGGCGCGGGCGACGTTGTCGAATCAGGTTCCGCCAGCTGCGCCACAGCGTTGGCATTGTTTGTCTTGCTGTTCTCCAGTTTGGCGCGATTCAGCGCTTCCTCACGCTCCTTTTTATCAAAGTACCAGACGGTGATGGCATAGCGGGTACGATGGGCAGGCTGCACCTCATGCGGATTACGTATATCCGACCAGAAGAATATCAGGCGATCAAACTTGGGCTCTATGTCGGCAATAGTGTTGCCTGGCGTCGGCCGAATTCTGTTAATCAAAGCAAACGACTTAGCTAATGCACTCTTCAAATAATCATCGATCAACTAACCGCAATATGCCGCCACTCTCGCTGGCATCCCAGTTGATGTTCAGGTAGTATATGGCTGTAATAACGCGACCATCCTTGTTGGGATTGTCCACGTGCATTACGTAGTGCGTGCCAGAGCCAGGATAGCAAGCGACCATAGCCTGCAAAAGTAAGGTATTGTAAACATCTCAGCAGATCATTGCAAATGCTGTACTCACTCTCGTACGCTCCCTGATATGGTAATTGCCCAGGATACCATTGTCCTTCATTGTGTTCACACGATACACCACAGAGTCAATCTAGAGTAGAGCACAAAGTGAGTATGCATGTTTATGGAATGTTAGACCACTTGACTGCTGCTTACCTGATTGGTCAGATACCACACATTGCTGCAGCCGGGCTCATTGCCACCGACCCATTTGATTTTATCACCTCGAATCTTATCACCGCGCACCGTGGGCGTGGACGATTGAGCATCGGTACGCATATTGTGCACCAGCTGGCCATCATGAAAGGCTCCCGCAGAGTACATGTTGCGCACCTCGTTCAGGATCTTCAGGCCTTTCTCTGTGCCCAGAAAGTCGTCCACCACAGACAGTCCATACTGATTCATGTCATTGATAATGTTACGGCAAAGATCTTCATAGCGACGTTCACTGTAGAAAAAAAGAAAATTGTGAATTAATTTGCAAATCCCCTTGGCAATCTCAACGAAATCTGTGATTCAAATCTAATCCTTTTTGGCTCTTATTGGGTCACCTTCAGGTACATATATGCGATGTATTTTTATCCCAAACTAAATTAAAAATATAAATGTAAATACTACTATAATTTATTTAGTAGTTTCTTTAGTATAATTATTATGAATTTGCATGTTTTACGACATTTTTATGTTTTGCAGCCCATAAAATTGTTGCTATTTATTGGACATGTTTCAGTCACGTAGTCCAAAGACACACACACATAACCGCATAAAGAGAAAGAAAAAGAGAATAGCGAAGAGAAAAGGCAGAAGAGGCGCAAAGCCGCTAAATTCTGGATAAACAAAACAAATTAAAAAAAAAAAAAAGGTCGTAGAAACCGTAAGCCCATCAAAAATTTTAACTGCATGGGAAAATATGCACTCACAGCAATAAAGAAAAACGAAAATAAAAATCGTCCACAAAGTGTAGTCAAGTTTTAAGTTTAAGCTTTAAGGTTGTCTAAGCGAATTGCAAATTAAAGAGCGTAAAATTGAAACGGTGATAATTAACTTCGAACCTGAACCGGTTTTCAATTAATGCACAGTTTATCGATGTTTAATACTAAATAGTTATCTATTCGAATTACCGTTTATCCAAAGCTTCACGAAAATATTGTTCGGCATTGGCAGGCTGAGCCGAATGCTTGAAGAAATTACTGTAATCCGTTGGTGGGAACGTAATCATTTTGCGTTTATGATTTATCAGTTTAATCAGATATTTGTAAATATTTATATTCACTTCACTTTTTTCTTGGAAAAGTTATTTAGTTCTTCAGCTGGCACACTGACGGAAGTGACTCCGGAACCATTCACGCACAACTGATGAAAGTTTGAAATTGGTTGCCCGTTTTTATACTTCCGATTGAAAGCAGTTAGGAAGAAATACACAGAGAGAGCGAGAGTAACGGTTGTTGTTTATCGTACATTGCTATCAGGGCAGTACAGTGTTGGTTAACAGTCTGATAAACACATACGTATGCACAGCTGTGTCGGAACGTTATTTCTCTGCAATTGTTGCAATTATAATTGTAGCTATTGTACGTCTTTTCACATTTGTTGTTTATTGCTTTTGGTTGGGTTTTCCCACAGGTATTAAAGTTCCGAACAATTATAGCGAAGAACGAACTGTTCACGTCGAGCGTACGCTTACAACTGAGCACCAGACACGACAAGCGACCACGACTCACCGGCTCGATCGACGCTGTGGGAGAGTTTGCACATGTGTTGGTAGCATATACTCATTTATGAGTTTGTGTTGCGTTAGGCCTGTGTAGCGGAAAGTGTTGTTGCTACAGCGCTACCTTTACATGTTTGCATTTGTATTAATTTTTTTTTTGCTCCGAGTAATTGAAAACGAGACCGGCTATCAGATAGTATTTTTCGTGGTAGTTGGAGAGCGAGTTTAGGGCTTTTTTTTCGTTGTATTTATCAAACTTCATCGGCATAAGCTATGTATGTAGTTTCCGCTTGCCCTTCAACTTGCATGCAACTCTCTTCAAACAAACACAAATGCAAACAAAACAGAAGGCGAACGCGGAGTGGCTGACACAATAAACGAGCGAGCGCTCACGTAGCCCAGCGCACAGTACAAACACAAAACACATGCGTGAAAATCAAAGCGGGGCAGTTGTCAGAGAAGACGCCACAAGAGAGAGAGAGGCGTGAACGAAGACATTTGAATTAGTTTGACAAAGCAAATGAGCAAAAAACAAAAACGAGCAGCTAAGGAAACAGCTGTAAATACATACATATGTACATGTAGATATACCATTTGTGTATAAGTATGTTGATACATATGTACGTATATATATATTTTTTTTTTTTTACAGACATATATGTATATACATATATGTACATTTGTATGAGCAGTGCTGGGCGCTTACTCCAATAATTTGGGTCAACGGCCCAGTTCAAAGTCGCCAGCTTAAGTAATTATTTAAAGGGCCCAACAGCACAACTCATACATGTACATATCATACATAAACACATACTATTTGTTTGTATATGTGTGCTCTAAAATGAATTATGTGTGTGTGCTCAATGATCGATTGTAGCCCTTGGTCTTTGATATGTTACGTGCGAAGTCTGTAAGCATGGCACGTGCACCATGCGTCAGAGATGACACAAAGTACTCAGTTGCTGTCACTATTCACTGCTGCAGTGAGAGCTGTCACAATGTTGCACAATATAAGAAAATATAATTTTACCAATTTTCATAGAAATATTGCAATTATATTTCTTTAGATTAGTTATGACAATATTAAATACTTTAAAGAAATATAAAATAAATATATAAAGCATACACACTGCAAAAGAGCGTGAATATCACATTGAGGCCCAAGTGAATATTTCATTCATCACTGGTTTGTGGTCGATGCTGTCGAGGGCGGCGCACACGCATTCCGTCCGACCTTGTGACGTGCGCGGCCAAACGTAGTTAAAACTCCGCATACAATTGTATGTATATAAATATGTGTGTATATTAATATACATATGTATATACTATGTGCGAAATCGTTAGTTGCAAGGCAAGTATTGGGGTTGAAAATTGAGAACCAGCCGCAACAGTTTGTTGCAAACAGCTGTAACCTGCTTTTGTAGCGTCGATTGACAGCACTGTCTATGGTTACCGTTTATAAAGCCTTTCTCATTTAAAACACATTGGGCCGCACTTGCTAAATTTTTGCCCACATTCGAAGAAAAGACAGAAAGCTGCTTGACAAGTGCCGCCTGTCTGACAAAATATGACATACAGATGTAAATATTTATATTGCTATCTTTGTAGCAAGAAATTAGCGAGCTGAGATCATGCGACATACCATTGCTAATTGTTTAATAAAGAATAACAGAGCCAATCCAATATTAAGACGCGTAGTAGCAACCTCAACAGATTGAAAACGAGTCGCAAGACTTGCTAAAAAGATAAGAAGCAAAATTAAAAGCGTAACAGTTTGCGTACCCGCCGCACGTACGCAAAATAATTGAGGCAAACAGTTAAAGAGCGTGCGATTTAGGGGGATAGGCAGATAAATAAAAAGAGCGAAAGAGATAGAGAGAGAGGGAGAGGCCACCCAAACTGCGACCACCCACCACAAAACGTAAGTGCGAATAACAATAAGCAAAACAAAATGAATTCGCGAACTTATCGATGATTCAGCGCGAATAGTACTGAAGTCATCGCGCCGATAGCGAATGTAATTTGGCAACTGTCGGCATTTACCTGCTCTAGTGTGTTTAATCTCTTAAAGCAGCATGAGAAAATAAATGAAAATATATGTAAGAAGCAAAACTGTAGGTGGAACTGCGCAACAGAATAATTACAAAGTCAGCGGCGCCATTCAGCGAAATGCGACTGCACTTCGTAAGAGGTGTTAACAAATCAAACAATGTGTTTTGTTGTGTGTACGTGCACCGTTTCGGTAAAGGGCATCGTGACACCTCGGCTCGCTTCGTGTGCAGTTCGGCCAAGTGCATTACATTACGCGCACGTAACGGCGAAAAAAGGTAAAAATTCCAGACAACGTCCGCCGCTACACTCGAAATTGCACCCAATCTAATCGCAGGGCACATATTTGCTTATAGCAAAAAAAAAAAGAGCACATCATAAATTAGCGGACTGGCACCAAATTGGCGAATTGGCGAACTGGTCTACACTCAGCAGTGCCAAAGATGCGAGCACGTAAAGCTTATCGCTAATTAGCGCTCTGTATGTGTATGTATGTTTACGTACATACATATGTACATACATTTCTATTTCCCGGGGCGTTGGCTTTAGCGCATTATAAAATATGTACATATGTATATAAAAAGCATTAAATCTGGATTTAGATAAAAGGTTCTAACTTTAATAAATATAACAATAATTAGGAAGAATTTAGAAATAAGGTATGTATGTGAATTGCATTGGATTTTAGGTTTGGGGCGGTAGATTTGTTTTTAGCATAAAGTGAGCATTGATCTAAACATTTAAAACATCACTAAAATATATGTTATAATTGTATGAAATGTTCGTTCAAAAGTTTGTTTCAAGAACACACGTTTTCTGTATAATAAAAAAAATTTTTGCCCGAAGATCGAGCATTAACAACGCTCTACACGAATACACTTACACACATACACATGCACACACATACACAATCAATTGGATTGGATAGTACGAAATTTAGACAGCGAAAGGAAGAATTCGAACTCTTGACCTCTGGACGACAATGGTTGAATACACACGTCAACCATGTCCAATACGAATTGTAGAGGATTGCGGCTGCGCCTTTCTGATGGGCTGCATCGGTGGTTCCATGTTTCAGTATATGAGGGGTTTCAGGAATTCACCAACGGGCTTTATCCGCAGCCTTTACGGCGGTCTGGACTCCGTTAAGATGAAAACACCGGCTATAGCGGGCAGCTTTGCCGTTTGGGGCGCCACATTCAGTACAGTGGACTGCACCATGGTCTACTACCGGCAGCGCGAGGACTCTTGGAATTCGATTGTCAGTGGCGCTGCCACGGGCGGCATTCTGGCCGCCCGCAATGGCATCAAGGCCATGGGTAATGGCGCCTTGGTCGGGGGCTTAGTGCTGGCCATGATAGAGGGAGCTGGCGCCGCAGTGGCCACCATCTATGCAGCCCAGCCATCTAGCACGGGCACAGAGAACGCCTATCCCCAAAGTCCGCAGTGGGAGCCAGTCTCGAACGGCAGCAGCAATAGCAACGATGCCTTAGCAGAAATTGAACGTGTACTGGACAAGTGCAACACATATAAGAATCCTAACAGAAGCTCACGGTGCAGACAGAAACCAAAGTATATGGACACTGAGGCGCCAGCCAAGCCGCTCTCCCTTCTCGAGCTGGTGAGACAAGCGAACATTTTTATTAGAACTTAGCTTTATTTTTTGTGGAATACCACGTTTCGGCCATCTTACTCATATGCCAAATTAATTCTATGTGTAATAGACGTTGACAAAATAAAAATGAGTTTTGATTGTAAGTTGTAAGTTTTATTAATGCAACTCACCTGCCGCTGCCCATGAAGCTGGAATCTGTTAGCCCAATCTGAAAGCTAGAGCTCTTCTCGCCATGATGATTATGATGCTGATGGGGGTGGGGATGGTGGTGTTGCTGGACATGCTGCTGATTCAGTTCATCCGATTGAGCTGTTTGCGTAGCCAGCGTTGGCTCTCCGAAGTAATTGAATAGATCATCCAGCTCGTTAGGCCAGCTCTGAGCCTGTGCGGCGGTTGTCATCATTTGAGCGGTGGAGCAGTTGGCGCCACTAACATCCAGCGTCGTGGCTGCCACCGCCTGCTGCAGTTGTTGTATTTTGTTGTTGTTGTTCTGTTTTTGGCGCGCCAGCAGACGGCAATCATGCCGATGGGCTGGCCAATCCAAGTGCTGATGCGCAACGGAACAATAGTAAATGCTTTTGCATTTGGCGCAGCGGAGCAGCTGCTCAGCGGTGCCGCAGATAGCGCAACGTGCTGGCAACGACGATGACTGTGGCTTTTGCATGTCCTTGCCGCGTCCCCTGCTGCTTACACCATATTGGCAACGCTTGTCTTTAACCTTGAACGTCTGACAGCGTCGTGTGCTGTAGTTGTGCGTCTGCCTATTGCCACTCGCAATATCAAATATTGTAGAGATTTCGGAATAACGACAGGGCGATATCTTCAGCAAGTGTGTGTGCTTATGGTCCAATTTCAGGGCATTTCACCAGGTCTTCTTTAGCTATTGAACTGTGGCTATACTGTAAGCATTTTAATCACGTAGGCCCAGCCGAAATAACGAAGAATAACAACAAAAAGATGCTATATAGCCGTTGTTGTTTTTATTGTTGCTGATGTAGTTGTTGTTGTTTCTCCCAACAGCTGCGTCCGCCTCCGCTTTTGCGATTGCTCTCTCTGCACGTTGTGTTGTACTATATTTGTACCGTCGCTCGAACGTGGCATTTACTCGTCTTTTAGCAATTCAGCAAATTTTAGCAATGACAAATTGCTTACAAATGCAAATTAATACAAAATTATAACGCTATTCACTTTCACGATGATAAAAATAGTCATAAAATGAACTAGTATAATCGATATGCAGATTTATCGAATTGCGGTCATACAGCACTCATTTACAGTGCTGGAAAACGCACATAGACTTCGCGCGAATTTAGAATTGTTGCTTTCCAATAGGACATATCGGCTTTGTGTGATATGTAGTTATCGAAACACTTTAGATAGGTTGACCGGCAGGCAGTTGTTAAAACAAATTCAACATTTCAAGCGGAGAGCAGATTCTAAATTTTAGTGAAAAAGTCAACATGGCATTAACAGATTTAAGCGCCAAAGTGGTGCTGGTGGATATTGAGGGTACTACAACATCGATTTCCTTCGTCCATGATGTACTTTTTCCATATGCCAAAGCAAACGCCGAGCAGTACCTATCAGAGACATGGGAAACAGATGACACTAAGAAAATTGTCGAGGAGTTACAGCAGCTGCCGCACTACACAGAATATGCTTCAACTCTAGAGACTCGACCAGAAATTAATGCTGCGCATATTGCTGATTTTTCCCGTTATCTTATCGAAAAAGATTTGAAGGTGACTCCGCTGAAAACGTTGCAGGGTCACATCTGGGCCAAGGGCTATGCGAGCGGGGAACTTAAGGGACAGTAAGTGGCTATCAGTTGTTAAGTAGACTAATCTTAAATCCGTTAATTAATCTTTATAGTGTCTACGAGGATGTCGCTGTGGCTTTCCAGACCTGGAGTGATGCTGGCCTCCGCATCGCCGTCTACTCGAGCGGCAGCGTAGCTGCCCAGAAATTGATCTTTCAGCATAGCATAGCCGGTGATCTGCTGCCGCTACTGAGCGCACACTTCGACACGCACGTGGGGCACAAGCAGCAAACCGAATCATACACACGCATTGCTGAATCGCTGGAGGTGGAACCGCAGCATGTGCTCTTTCTCACAGATGTGCCAGCGGGTGCGTTAACAGCTAGAATCTTTTTTGCATACCTTACAATAATTTAAAATTTTACAGAAGCTTCTGCTGCTCGTGATGCGGGCATGCAAACCGTTTTGCTGGCTCGTCCCGGCAATGCGCCACTCACCGCGGAGCATACAAGCGCCTTTCCCGTCGTCACAAACTTTGTGGCGCTGCAATCGCTGAAGCAACCTTGAATAAAGCTGCTCGATTCTTGAGTTGAAGACAATGCTATAGAATATATTTATTGTGCAGAGATTTGCTTTACAGAAACGCACGATCCACGCTGCACAGATCATCGCCACTGTCGTGCGGCTCGGGCGTCTGCTCCACCTGTCGGCGGCGTGAAGTAGACCGCTGCGATTGCCGCGAGCTGGGCTTGAGCTGCGCGCCATAGATCTTGCGCAGCTGCTGCACCTTAAGATCCGCATCGGTGATTCCACTTGGGCAGCGGCTGCTATTACACTTCTTCTTGGGCTGCTTAATGCGTCGCTGCTGGTTGCTCTCGCAGCCATGGCGCATGCCCTCGCTGCGGCAGCTGTGACTGAGTTTGCCCACCTCGGGACCCCAATAGGTTTGACCCTCGAGCAACAGAGGCGCTGACTTGACACGCTGTTTCATCATTTGCATGTGCAGCTCGTATTGCCGCTCCTGCAACGCTTGCTCTGCCTTGCGCGTGGCCAGCCGTATGGAAAGCAGCGCCTTATGCGGTTCACTGGAATGATCAAATATTTTTTTATATCTATCAGGAAATGTTTTGGTGGACTTACTTGAGGGACAGTGATTTCCAGGCTGGCGTCTTGCGCACCTCCCAATCGAATTGTGGAATAGGATCGTGATAGGTGCAATTGTTTTTCAGCTCCTTTACCTTTTTGCGCGAGACCTCAGCACGCAGGGTGGCCGCTAGATTGGGTCGGGCCACTGGATGCTGCGGGGAAACGCTCGATATCCGCTTGCTTGGCTGCGGTTCCTGACCTGTCATCTGCACAGGGGCCACCATTATCTTGCGTGAGCGTCGCCTGCACACGCGTCTCGAGGTCGAAGCGGAGCTGTTGCTACTACGCTTGGAAGACACTGAGGGGGATTCAATGTGAAGCTTGGGTACCTCTTTGTTTGAAAAATAGTTGCTTTGCGTCAACAGCCCCAACTTGGACGCTGGTTGTCCGCTGGCACTCAAATCATTAACACTGAAGCTCTTCCTTAGCATTTCGCTGCGAACTTTGGCACGCTCTGCTGTGTGCATGGCCGGCACCTTGGGAATGGGCGTTATCTTGTGGGTCTGGGTGGCATTGCTGGTGGACTTAGGACGCTCAGTTTTGCGCATGAATTCCTGTTCGAAGGCCTTCAAAGATTGTTTAAAGTCCGCCACTTCAAGGGCAAAATCCTGCTTGAAGTTGGCCAAGCGACTTAAATCACGAACGCACTTCTCATATTCCTCACTAAGACAGCTCGTGGTGTGTGCGACATCGGGGGTGGGTGTGGCCCGTTCCGGCAGGATCAACGGTGGTATACTGGGTGCTTTCTTCTTAACCTTCTTGCATTTCTTGTTGTGTTGCTTGACCTTACAGGAGCCGCCCTCGCTTACTTGCTCCGGCGTCGCGGGCTGAGCGCGCAACTCTCGGCTGGTAGTGCGCAAACTTTCGAGAGTTGAGTAGAAGTCTGCGTTGTGCAGGTGCTTCACTTCGCAGTAGTCTGTAATAAAAGAGTTCTAGTTAAATGCCAATCAGCACTCGTTAAACTTAATTACCTGGTATGCTATCATAGAACTTGGCCAGCGATCGTATACCCGTTTGGCTCGTCCAGTTAGCAGTCTCTGTGGCATCTTGTGATTGGCAGGTGGTGGATTTTGCCTTCACCTTTTTGCCCATACAAAGTCTAGGACGATTATAAACGGGCGCCGGGCAATTATTGCACGGATCTATAGGCACTTTAACGCAGGAATTTAGATACGCTCGACCCATATGTGTGCTCATATTTTATTTAATAAATACAATGCGTTTTATCAATATTTGAAATCCAATAGGTTCTGGGGTTACTGTTGCCAGCGGTAACCAAACATTGAACATTTCTTTACGCTTTGTTTTTTATCCTTTCCGTTTTGGTCTGCCTGTTCGCACGGTTACGGGCCATGTCCTGGTTTCGGTCTCGGCCATTCCAGCACATTCGTGTACTGCTTCATTATTTAATAACTTTCATGTTTAGATGCTCACTTGTAGTAAATAGCGAACCGATTTCATTTCTATTTGTCATTTTCTCTTAAATTATCCACAACTGCTCTTCACATTGTGCAGAAAATATTTTATAGCTCGCTAACGTTATTGAGATAGGTAAGTTTTCGTTTATGGCCTACGGTCACACTATTCAGCCAACGATAACGATTGCTTAGCTGTTATAATTCAGCTAGCAGCTGTTAAGCTGATCGTTTAATAAATTTAGTATTTTGCATTGACTATCAAATTATGAATGAATAAAATCAAATCCTGCAACATTGCACATCCAGTGGCTCAACCAAAATAAAATACTTGTATATTGTTGCATATTTTTAAACCAATCGAAACCATTTCTGTTGGATTAAATTGGCGCCCGCTGTAAATAAACATGAGACTACGTTACGTTAACAGCTGTGCTCCAATCGTTTGACAGTACGAGTTCGTCAGCAGGCGACGTCGGTTCGCATATTAATTTATCTGTGTCGTGTGTGTAAAAAGAAAGCATTAAAAGAGACGTAAAGTGCGACTAAACACATAGTTTATTTCGTCAGGGTGTTAGCGTGAAATTGCGCAAATATTTACGATAATATTATCGTCATTTACAACACCCAAAAAACTTGTCACAATGAAGTTGTACGCTGCAGCAACAGTTGCGCTGTTTCTGTTGGCCGCAATCCAAACAACGCCAACAGCTGCCGAGGAACAGGAGGTGAGTTGCGGTTTATAATTTTTGTTTACGATTCGCAATGTTTTGGTCAACAATTTAACGCTTTTTGAGTGAACATGCGGCTGTGGCAGAAATTAAAATTTACCGAATTGCGTTATATTTGCTCGCTTGCTGTTTTTAACAATGCCGACACACAGAAACACAAATACATACACAAGCAGACATGAACACAAACAAACAAAGCCATACTAGACACATACACACACACACACACACACACACACAGACACACAGACACATACGCATGCATGCTTGCGTACGCCATACTGATTTACTTGTTGTTTGTCTCTCCGTCCACACATTAACTTTGATTAGTCAGCAAAAGAAAATCGTATGCATAAATAAAAGGCTGTAATGGCAAGATACATAAATATAAGAAAATACACGCCTTACTTACACGTACATACACATATGAACCTATATAAATACATCTTTATGGTGTTGGCGCTTTTTTAGGCTTATCAAATTTGCAATTATACCGTTTGTTGTTGTTTTGCTTTGTCCCGCTTTCTTTGTTGCGTCGCCATTTCATTACAATCAGCTGTTATATACATGTACATACATATATGTATGTATATATCAGTATGACCGCTAGAACGGATCTCTGATCTATCTGTCCCCCTTTTGCAATAATTGCGTCTTGGATTTCAATCAACTGCACTTTGTGCCTTCAATTCCGATAGGAATTTTACAACTTTTGTATTGGTTTTGGGCGATTATTTAAAAGCCCATTTATAAATTTGTTTAATTAAAGCATATTTAATTGCTTGATTAAATATTTAGTCAAGCCTTAGGTCATCTAGAAATCAATGAAGAGATTACGAATGATTCGCGTACACAAATGTTTTAATTGGGAAATAGCTTGAAGCTTATTTCGCTGGTTTGTTTAATGTTTATATAAGCTATTATTATGACAGCAAACAGATTGCGAGTCATTTCCATAGGAGAAATGTTTTCCAGCAACTAAGTCGTTGAAATATAATATATGCATATCTGTGACTGTGCACCTGCTGTTGGGTACACAAATCTGTTTCAATTTTCAATTAAAAACTTGGAGCTGCAATGAATCACAAAGATATTATAATTCGTAGCTATTACAATAGCCAGCTGTCGCCTTTTGTTCAAATTTGTTCACTCCTTCTATAAAGCTCTTTTTGCCATTCAGAAAATCATATTAATGACCAGCGAACTGTCTGTGGCAGAGGCCGAGATTGGCCCCGTGGCTAACAGCCAACAGCCAACAGCCACCCCACTGGGCGGGGGTGAGAGCGCATCATCAATATCAATTAAAACATTTCCATTTGCCAGCCAAAGAAAAAAAAAATGTACCATTTCGTATATCGTATATCGCATATAAATAATAATAATAAAAAGAAAGACAATAAGTAAAAAATTCATTTCATATTTACATATCAAATGTTATTTTTCTGAAGAGCAAAATTAAATTATGAATTGCATTGAAGTTGAATTTCAGTAAATGCAAAATGTTGGCCAATTAAATTATGGAAATATTTTCAACTTTAATATGGCCAACACTTTTTATGGCTTTATATAAGGGGGCAGTCTCAAAAAGTATAAAATAGAGAAGAATAAAATAGAACCGGCAGCTATTCCATATGCTAGCAAACATAAAGCGAACAATGCATAAACATATTTACATAAATGAATAAAATGCGGAACTGTGTGAATAAATGTGAGAATAAATTTATATAAACCTACACACACATACATACATAGACAAATGTATATAAAGATAACTACATACATACATACATATATCCATATTCATAGCTCCCAAATTGCAAGCTAAAACTTAAATATAGAGCTCAAACTCTAGAGAAAGATGTAGAGAGCAAGAGTGAGAAGTAGAGAATCGTTGCTGGGGGGCAATTTCATACATATATATTCACTCGTTCGACTGTTTTTGTCATTTAGGAAATCACATGCGGATGATTCACATGCACAAACGGCATCCGCTTCTCTGAGCTTCAAAGTTTGTCAAACGCATTGCCTTAGCTTTAGATGCAAATTCTATTCTCTCATTCTCGATTTCTTCCTTCCGTCTATCTCTTGCTCTCTCTCTTCATCATCTTCTTTCCCTCAGTTGGGGGGCAATTTCGAATCCATTGAGTCATTTTGCAATTTCGATCATGACTCTGTCGCCTAATGCTGCGAATGCCAATGACAATTACGTTATTGAATCCACTAAAAGACCCCACGCACACATTGACACACACAAACACACACACACACACACACAAAGCCCAAATTAGCACCCAGGGGAGCATTGAAACCAAAGTTTATAATGAGCTTGACATGGAACCCAAAACCAATCCCAAACCCAAACTCAAACCCAAACCCGACCCAGACCCAAATTTGTCCTCCTGTGTGTGTTTGAGAAATTTTGCAACGGTCTCAAGTTGCATAGGAGTTACTCAATGGCCAGCATAAGTATATATGTATGTAAATTCACCTGAACAGGAAAAGGGTTAAGTACACTCGAAGAAACTGCAATAAATTATAGCATTGCTTCTATAAAGTCAGGAGTAATCGGATACTTAGATTAAGAGTTAAGGCAATCAATTTGTTCTAAATAAGATCAATAAACTCGCTATATACTATATAGTATATATATATATATATATATATATATATATATATTTATATAGTATATAGTCTTCATCTGTATCAACATCGTATATAGTACATGCTGAGCTTTCAGTGACTCAGTTTATACAAGGCCAATTCGAACGTGTCTACAAATTTATATATACTATTTTCACGTATTATATTATATATTATGTATTCTCGAGCTCTCTTGAAACTGTTCTTTGTTAGCATATTAACTGGTTTCTGTTTATCTTAATACATATACTACCTGACTCTTTTGCTCAGTGTATTATTGAAATATATGTATGTATAGGTGTGAATCGAGTGTAGAAAGAGAGAGAGAGAGATAGAGATAGAGAGAGTAATTGTCCGGCCGGGGGGCCGCTGAGTGCAGCTGACGGCCGAACAATGTCGGAGCTAATTTCCACACACATTAATTAAACGCATAAAGACAGTTTGTGAATTTTTGGCTTAAATGCCATTAATCGGTCGGCAAAGCATCAATTTAAGCCGATGAATACAAATAATTGAATTTCTCTCGCTGCGTCCCTCAAACGCAAACTCAGGCAATTTATGCACATCGCTCGACATACAAAGAGAGTATATGGGCTTTGTGTAGATTGGAATATAAGTCAATAGACAGAGTAAAATATTTATATAGAATTTATATCGTGATTAATTTTTCGTTAAGTATTCAAGGCACAAACAGCTTGATCCTCAGTCTTGAATCAATGGGGTCTACTCAGCTCTTGGTTTATTCATGCCTCAACAGTGTATTATGCCGTCAGCTTTACCACGTTTCAACTCGAGGGTTGCTAGCCGAGTAGTCTCATTGCAGATGGCTCAAAGAAAGCGCTTTAGCCAAGGCAAATGTGGTCATTAAAAAAGCACCTAAATATTTATATATATACACGCGCCCATTCAGCGCAAAAGCGCGACTGACCTTGAATAAAATAATAAAAAGGAAACAAGAGAGAATATTTAGCTTGAGCAGACCAGAGACTTAAATACCCTAGCCGGCATAGAGACTATGGATTCTAGAGTGAAATGATAGATTTAAGAAAATATATATGCATACATATATATCTTTATGAATGAAACAAGATTAATTGGAAATAGAGTTTATATTATATATTTAATTTTAGCATTAGATTATATTTAACTTAGCTTATCTTCTGTATGGGCATATGAAAAACCAAATGGAGCAACATCGATTCAGTAAATCAGTTGAGTTTCTTATTAATTCAAAGTGATGTAAAATGCAGCTTAATCATAATACCTTTAGCTAGGGTATATAATGCTCGCTCAATCCTATTGAGTCTTTCTGTTGCTGGATCTATATACAATATATACATAGATATAAAATTATGCATACATACTTCTGAATCAACAAAGTGGATGTTGACAGAACTTATATGTGATTTAAATAGATAAATAAAAAAAAACGAGTTTTTTTTTTCGTTGTATGCCCGAAAATGTTAATAAGCCGTAGTCTTTTCGGCTTCTGGCCAAGTTGATTTACCCGTTTTAATTAAGCCTTAATGAAAATAAACAGTTTTACAGTTTTTACAATTTTCACAATTTCGCCGTTTGACAGCAAATTGGCAATTTTCTGTGTGCAGTTCGCAATTTGCGCCACGGGGCTTCGGCCGGATTTTATTTTGATGTATTTATTTTTATTTACGTCGATTCAATTAAAGTTTTTTTCAACATTGCATCAGTTAATACCCCAGCGCATCTCTTGTATGCATCACGGATCCAACAAACAGCCACCCAGTGGGCCTCTCGATCCCCCGCCTTCCGTCCGCCCCCCCGCGAGTCAGTGCAATATTTATGCAGCAAGAGCCTGTTAACACTGAGCCGCAGCACGTTGCAGCGGCATTAACAGCGGCATCAACAGCAACTTTTGCAGCAAGTGTCTGGATGCGAAAAGTTTTCGATATAAGCCGGGCGCAATGTGAACCGCGAAAAGAACGAGAGCGAGAGAGAGAACGAGATGGAAAAAAGAACTGCAGTCAGGAGAGAAGTTGAAGGAATTAAAAGTAATTCTATAGATTCGATGTATGTACAATTCTTAGCGATCTGAAAATCATATTATTTATAGAGTAATATTGATAAATCGTAGATCAAGTGAGATAAAAAGATTTATATTAAGGCATATATAGCTAAGATAGATATATAATTGAAGATAAACACTACATAGTTGCATATATAGAGATAGCAAAATCGATAGATGGGAAAAGTCCATGGTTGGAATATAGACTAATTAATGATTAGATTTAGATAGGTAACTCTGTATTCGTTTTCTATAATAGACATGAAGGCAATCAATATGAAGCGCCATTAGCGGCAAGCCGAGCGCATTGAATCAGTGGCAAGAATTAAAGTTTAGTTGTATGTATTAAGTTACGCATTGGGTTGCCAGGACAACCATAGGCAGGCAGCCGCCTTCATAACATGACCAACTGGCAATCTACAGAGGCCTGCAGTGTGTTATATACCCTGTAAGCATACCAGCAAAAGGGGTGTAACAGTAGGAGTTGCGAAGGAAGCTTTTGAAATAAATAGTATAAATATTATTGATATTTGATATTTGATCTATAATGATATTTGCAGTCTTATCTGAGCTGGCTTTATAGAGAGAGAAATTATAAATAAAATATATCAATATATCTCCAGATCGAAACGAAATTGCATAAGAATTATATAATATCTATAAAATAAATCTGGAAGTGAGTTTTTTGTTTATATTTATTATTTATATTATTATTATTTGTATTATTATTATATTATTTATATAAACATAAAACTCACTTCCAGATATTTCATTGCTAAAATAAATAAAAGATAAATTTATCAGAAAAGTTTGTCTTTCATTTATTTTGATCATTATACATACATATACATATGTATATCAAGTTTTATGTTTATATTTATGTTTTTACTAAGTATTTGTGAATATAAAAATTAAAACGATTTTGAGTAAAGACCAAATCTTACTTTATAAATATAAATATAAATATAAATATAAATATAAATATAAATATAAATATAAATATAAAT